ATCACATGAGGACTTGTCTCCCTTCTTGAATATTGGTATAATAAGTGACTTACCCCACTCTGATGGAACCGCCTCTGATTCCCAGATATTATTACCTAGTACCTTAGTTAATCTACATACTAGTATGTCACCCCCATATTTAAACACCTCCGGAATAATTCCGTCGGGTTGTCCGATTCACATTCTTTATTTTTTTCATTCAGAAGCTCATCTCAAGTAACACAGAGACAATGCCAGTGTTGAATCAATCAGACTACGTTAGTCTAGATCAGCTTCCTCCTTTCTGTTTTACGCCATAGAAGCATCAGAAGAGAATCCATTCTCAGAAGGTGGCGCTATTTTCTAACATGAACAAAATGTCCAATCAAAGCGCAAAAATGAAAAATAATAGTTGGGATTTACTCATTCATAGCAAGTTCATTTTATGAAATCTAACATCTAATCTACAACCGACTAGAGAGGAAACACAGTAAGCTAAGAATTAATATTGTCTCCATGGCAGTTTCAATAGTCTTATAAAAGTTAGTGGACATGATTTGATAGTTTCATTGTCTGCCAACTTTGCCTAGAAGTTGATCAGTGTCAGTTTACAGAAAGGAATCGGTTTTGTGCTAACAACATGTGAAGACATCTAGTTGACGAGACAGTCACTTCTGATAATAATCTGCTATTCTGATACCTAAACGTCAATGAATTCTAACTTCCATTATAAAACAAGCAATAAAGGTTAATAAAGCAGGATTTAATGAATTCATCAAATTTCGGTAGAACTCGTCAGCTGAACACTCTACATACACGGATATATACTTTTGAAGTTACATTGGGAGATATAGGACTGAATACTTTACATACACGGATATATATAGTTTTGAAATTACACAGGGAGATATAGGACTGATAAGTAAATAAACTACATTGAATTAGTCATGCAGAAAGACAGGTGCGAATGTTTTTCCAGGTCATGTGCAGTTAGATAAGGAGAGAGAGAGTATGGGAGATCAAAATTAAGATAAATTGCATTACGCTTCAATTACATCACTTAGATAAACAATTAGACATTAGAGAATTTAACAAGAATTGCAACCAGAGGGATGTCAATAGTAATAGTTATAATAACAATAATATAATATAACAATAATAATAATAGTGTTGAAGTGGGTTAAGATAATGCTACTGATAAAGGATAGTTTTAAGTGAATCAAGAATAATAATAATAATGAGAATAATAATAGTAATAATAAAATAATAATAAGAGGTAGAATTATAAGTAAAACGTATTACCATGGTAGATTCAGAGTCACGACCATCTCCTTTTGTACACAGAGACCTGGTTTGTAAACTCGAATTGCACAAGCCTCTGCAATTGCAAGCATCTTCTTGTTTCTTTGTCTGCTGACAATGGTGAATGACTTGACTGCGTCAGTATCATGCCCGTAATCCACAAGATGCTTTGTTATTGAGGATTTTGGCACTTTGAACTCAGCTGTTTTCAACCATTTTGGCAAATGCTCCATCATGCGGGTAGACAATCTCCTTTCCGTACGACCTATGTATTTGCTTCCACAAACACACTCAAATTGATATACGCAGTTTGAAGTGTCGAGGATTGGCGACTGGTCTTTCCCAGATTGTTGAAGCACTCGCTTAGTGGTGTTAAGGAAAACAAGTTTTGCAGCATAATAAGTTCTCTTGATGGCTTTGTCGAGTCTTCGTTTGATTACTTCCTGTACATCATCTCCTTTGAACGGCAAGTTGATATAGACAGGTTTCTTCGGAACTGTTTGGATTGTTTTGCAGTGGATGTTTTCTTTAGAGTATTTATTAATGAACTTCTCGGGATATCCATTCTTAGATAAGATATCCTTCAGGGATTTTATTTCATACTCAACAGTACTGTCAGAACAAATTTTTCGTGCTCTATTGAACAGTGTTCTGACTAAGTTATTTTTGTACTGGATTGGAACAAAACTCTTGAAATGCATGTACTATCCTGTCCATGAGGACTTTCTAAATATAGATCTTTCGATTGTGCCATCATTCATTTTCGCCAGAAAAACGTCTAGGAATTTGATAGTATCATTTTCCTCGTGTTCTATTTTGAAATTGAGATTTGAATGGCATGAGTTGAATTTTATCAGCATGTCTTCGGCTTTTGATCTGCTTGCATAGGCAATAAAAATGTCATCAACATATCTTAGGTATAGATCCGTTTCTTGTATATGTTGTTGCAGGGTACCGGTTTCTAGGCGTGACAAGAATAAGTCAGCGAAAAGTGGTCCCAAGGGGCTTCCCATTGCGACACCATCAACTTGACGGAATAAACGCCCGTCGAATTGGAATTGGACATTTTTAGTACATAAAAGTAGCAATTTCCTCAATTCCGACGTTGGAATGGGTATGTCTTCAGCTTCTTCACATATGAAGTATCGGGAAATAAATGTTTCTAACTTCCATTAGTTAGTCATTATCCGTGGATGTGTGTTTACAAGTGGGAGTTAGTCGTCTAGTCTACTAGTCATAGCTGGTTCTTTCAAATACAGCTATATGGCGCTTCCAGGGTTTTAATGTGTCTGCCGTTGGTACCGTTTTGTGATGAAAAATTCAGAATCAAAACTTCCGGAACATTTCGTCAATGTTTTGTATACTACTTAAAATTAATAAGTAGTATATGTAAAACAAATGGTTTTACCTCATGGGATTCTTTTGCGTGAATGTTTGACTCATTTTTTTTAGACTGTTGAGTTTGTAGCTAACAACATATTTATTTAGTTGTTAGAATATGTCAAATAAAATCATTCTGAATGTGTTTGTTTGCAGTTACTTCAACGGGCCTACTGTCATGGATCATCATGAACGACTGAGGAATCGGTCAGTGGTAAAGCCATGCACTTAAAGTTTACAGTTCTAAATACCTTGTCAAAATTTTTACAGGAAATTCTATTTCTTCTGGCCACCACCTTAGTAGGTGGGAGACGGTTGATATATATAGACACCCTACGGTCAAGTATTCACAGAAACACAAAGTTGGGTTAACGCAATTCCTTCCCAGTTGACTTTCAACAATGAACGTTAAGTAAAGTGAATTTTTCCGAGTGGAACATAAGGCTTCAATAGGACATCTCCACTTTTCCTGGTTTTCTGCAATCCTCTTCACCTGACCTCACGATTGTTCATATGCCCTCATCTACTCCTCACACGATCTCCTCCATGTCACCCTTGAATTGACGCTCAAATTGTCGTTTCCCATTAGCGTTCCACTTTAGGGTTTACCTGACGTGCGATGTCATCCAGCAGTCTCCTCAAAGGGTGCTCAGTCCATCTCCAACCTCTTGTGAACATTTTTTGAGCAATAGGTTCTGAGTTGATGTGTTCCCAGAGTTTATTGCTGCTAATTCTTTCCGGCAATCAGATCTTCAATATGGAACCAGTGAAGCGGGCAGGTGTTAATAAAAGTTTGAAGTGGCCTGCTGGAAATGATTTTCGTGACTTGATTGCAAAGTTTCTCAAGCACATGGAGGTACTGACTGGCTCAACATTGGTATTGAAAATCTGAGTATTTCCAAAGTGATTTTATAGTGATACAAGTTTGTCTTGCCTTCTCCATCCTGGCTGGTTTTGAAATCCTCAACGATGCTTCCTAGATAAGTAAAGGAAGCGACATTTCAAGAAGTAATATGCCGTATTACTGAGAGATCATTTCTTCCATGCTGCAGACTGAATAGTGAAATCTACTCAACAAAAAAGGCTTGCTTCATAAATACTTAATACATCCTGTAGTGAATTTGCATAAGCGAAAAACACTACATTGGGCAAAGTGGACAACGTCCCCTTCGTCTACGTATCCACGAACATAAGCTGACCGTTAAAAGACATTACATCCAATCCCTCATATCGCCTCATTGCATACAGACAACCACGGACATCAATTCAACTGGGACAACGTTCAAATATTGGACAAAGGAAACACCAAGAATGCTAGAGAATTTTTAGAAGCCTGGTATTCCAGTGAATTGTCAATCAATAGACACATTGACATAGACAAAATTTACCAAACAATAAATGAAGGAAATCTCACACATAAAGGGTCAAAGTTCAAGTCAAAGAAACAATCAGTGCCAATACAAGTAGTCTAGAAGGTGTGAAAACACACAAAAACAACCAATCACTTTCAAGGTGGTCACCAGGAGAGATGACTGATAGTGAACTCGTGGAGAAATCTAAAAACTCACTTCATCAAATTGAAATATACGCTGAAGATGTTGCCTAGTGGGGAGGGGGGCAATGATGAAAGCTTCGCAAATTAACCAACCAGCTGCTCAGGGAACACAACCACATCAAAATCATATGTGTATGTTTGTAGGGCAGAGTCACTGCCATACCTAAAATGACTTTGGTCTTATAATCTTGTGAATTATATTGACTTGTACTCAACCCTTTTTTGTGAATTCATCACCTGAACGCATAAAATAAGACAAAAGAGGATGTCTACAGGCGATTTGAGTGAGGGTAGATAAGTTGTCGCCAAATTAAATTCACCTCCCTCTCGTTTCTGCCCATATAAAGGAGAAGAACTGGGTCGGCTAATTACGGTTGGAATTTCCTCAATTATTTGGTGGTGTTTTGTGATTTTGTATCATCTGCTCAAAGGGATATCCTATAATTGTCATATTCAATGTTAGATTCAGCTGTTTCAAAGGTGTTTTATTGATTTCCTTTTACACAGCTGCTCTATCTACAATGCGCGAAAACACCTTGAGATAACTTTTATCCCAACCTAGTCAGCGATAGCTGTCCATTATTTTCAGTTTTTTAAACACTTGCCTAGCTCGGATTGATATGTCGCTTGACCTTGAAATCCGTTAAAACAAAAATGTCCGCACTTATTGCATCCTATACAATTGGTGCTATACATTCACTGGCCACTGGTTCATTAATTAAACATTGAACATCTTAAGTGTTTTAATGGACCATGCAAAAATTTAAAATTCAAATTTTAAGACATTTAAACAATAAACTTATCTACATTTTGATGAAACTGAATTTTAGAAATGCATATATGTATATGTTAATTTTAGTTAGTTAGTTGATAGTTCAATCGCATTCAACGTTAACACGCACAAATACACAATCTGATCCGAATATGAAGCCATTTACAAATGAAATGCAAGAATGACGATTGGTTATGCATTAATCAGCTTAAGCATGGGAATGCCAGTACTTTGATTCTATCCATCCTGGTGGTTGCAATCGCATACATACACACTGTCGACTTTTATTCCGTAATCCATTCACAATGCTGTCAGCGGAGAAATACGGTTGGATTTCGATAACCTATCTGGCGATCTCATTCTCCCTGTAAAAACCATGCAAATATCAAGTGTATTATTGATTCCACTAATGTTGAATATCCCATTATCTTTTACACAAAGAAATTTCCCGCTAGTTAATAATGAACCCTGTCCATCTATGTGTAAGTGTTCAATAAATCCAATCAGCGAAAACAGCAGCGATTCAATGTTCAATATGCGCGGGAAAATCAAATCTATGCATAGGGATGCGAAGAACTATTTCTATTATTCCATACTAGCAACCTGTTGGATAACATCTGATCTTATTTCTTTAGATTGTACATCGAAATGGAGTGTTCTACACTTACAAATATTAAATGATGGCAAGGAATATTCTGGAAATATCTTGAAGCATCCCAAAAATGTTCAAATTCAACCATCACTGGATTTATTTCAAAAGTGTAAATCAATTGAAAGACTCGCCATTTGGGAAAATAATCAAATTAATTATTTGCCGAGTAGTTTGTTTAAACCATTGATACATTTAACCCGTTTAATTATTCAATTACCGACGCTACATCATTTACCTGATCATTTTTTATTATTTATGCCAAAGCTAAACTTTTTAATGATTTCTAAATCATCCCAACTGAAACAAATATCGCAGAGAACATTTGAACCATGTCCAAGACATCTGAAAACAATATGGTTGTATGGGAATGGATTAGAGGATTCTCTGACGGTGGGATTATTCCACGCTTGTGATTTACACGAATTATGGCTGGGGGAGAATAAACTTCAGAGGATACCAGTGGGTAGTTTAAATGGTCTGATGAATCTTAAACACTTAAGGCTGAATAATAATCAGCTTCACGGTTCATTGGAGGAGGTGTTCGGTGTGCAGGTGGCAGGAATACGTATACCTGACGATAACGAAAGTCATGTTGGCCAGTATTCAGCGTTGAGTGATGTGAGAATGCTGAAATTATTAGATTTATCATATAATAAAATCAAATCGATTGAAGGTTACCAGTGGTCAAGTCTATGCTCTGTTGTGCACAATGAAGGTCTTTGTTATCTGGAAGAACTTCGACTGGAACACAATGAACTTGTCTACCTTGCGCCTTATGCATTTAATGGCCTACCAAGATTAAGAAAATTAACACTTTCTGACAATTTAAAGTTGTACACACCAGAATCGATTATGAGTTTAACTCTATCGTTGCACAGCTTATCATTCTCCACAAAATACCTAAATGAGGTATTGATTACAGTGAGAAGTGATACACTGGAAGAGGGAGATAGTAGTACTGGTACTGCTACGGCTACACTAAATATTTGTCAACCAAGCTTGCCTGAGTCTAGAATGTTACTCCACAAAATGAATAAATGGTTGAGATCAATCATTCTTCAAATAAATCGTAACAGTTGTCATAAACAAGGTGAATGGGACAGGCAGCTGTCTACACAAGAGGCTGTCTACAACGTTGTCTCTGATCAACCACCTTGTCTTTCAAATACCAGTGGACATAATACACAAGTTCGGGATAACATCGTCTCAAATGAAAATGCATCAAACCACAGTAGCACAATTATGTCTTATGTGAAACAATCAACAGAAATGGAGTTGGCTTCATTATTTGTTGGTCTAATATGCTTTGGAGTTATCCTAGGCTCATCAGCTGTTCTCATCACGTGGTATTTAACCAAACCAAGAAAATCAGCTGGTACACAGAAATTTAAAGCAATAACACAACAACAACCACACCGAAAACAAAATAGACCCAGTGAAAATTTTCTGCCGCTATCTCAGATTACTCCTCACCACCACCACCACCAACAACAACAACAACAACAACAACCAACTCATCGAAATGTATTGCATACTTCGAATTATATCTATCCATATCATCAAGTGTGTTATACGCCTAATTTCCAATCCACTGGTAGTTCAATGGTTTCTCCATTAGTCAATCGTAATTCATGTTGTCAGTTGCCGCCTAATAAACTGTTTCTTCAACATATTGGTGGCACTTCTTCATCGAAAATCAAATTCGCCAAATCTTTATCAGCAACCTCTGCTGTTGTTCCATCCCCTGGTAGGATGACGATGAGGATGAAACAACCTGATCTACTGCCATTATGTTCACCAACAATGGAAACTAGTATCATTTCAGAATCTGTATATAGTTTAGTAACACAGACATCATCAACTAGTAAAATGAAATGAATGTGATACAAGTAAAAATCGATAAGTTAATTTGAAAAATAATCAATATCGAACACATACAATATAATTTAAATAAAAATAACATGTTAATATTTTCAATGAAAGATATAAGTAGGTTGTTTGTTTGAATGGATGAATGAATATGCCATTGTTTGAATCACCTAGGTAACCAGGATATATATGTTATTCAAACAAAGTGTATCCGTGTGAATTAGAGATAGATAGTGCAGAAATTAGATAACATGCTTTCAATGTAAAATGAAAATCACTGCGTATGGACAAGTTGATCATAAAATGAGAATTTATGTGAATTTCAACTTTGTTATGGTTATTGTATGAGAAAAACTTGAACACATTGAATGTCATAGGTGGCGAGAGAGAGAGAGAGAGACAGAGAGAAAAATAAATCTGGGTAAAACTATTATTCAAGTTTTCATTTAAACATGTAATACTTTTAAATGTAAATAAATAGTAATTAAAACTATATAACTTATGATTTTGATTTGGTTGGGTTCTGTGAACTGGTTGACTTAATTACCAAGCTTTCGTTGTCCCTATTCTGGACAATCTCTTCAGCACAGACATCAATATATAGTAGAATTGTTTGAACTGTATATCGTGACAACCATTGTCATGACTGGTTAGTAATTTACATCTATATTGATCATATTTTTGTTGACAAAGAATTCGAACTTTCTTGTCATGTGATTTGCTTTTTATTAGCTGATAAATTTAGTCTATAGTAATGTGTTTTTTAATCACTGGCTGATTTACTTGAGTACCACCAGGCATCTACGAATTCCCTGGCTACACTTTTGATGTTTCCTCTATTTAAAATTTCTACATTCTCCCAGTCAGATTAGTGTTTGTAACTATTTACATGCATCGTTATGAAAGAATACACGTCGTGCCTTTTCACACCTAATTTATGTGATCTTGGATTTTGATTCGAATGTGATGCCGATTTCAACCGATGTAATGTTTGTTGCAGTTCATACAATTTACTCTGAAACTCGTGTTGATCTTAGCTTCTTTTTTTGCTGGATCTTTTGGTCTGCACAATATCGGTGAATGAAGTGATTGTGTTGGCTGGCTGGCTTGTGTGTTATATCTATTGCAAATGGTCTTAATATTCTAGCTGTTATTTCAGAGGTATTTTTATATATGGTAGGATGAATTTTCTTGTAGTCTTTGATGATGGTTTCTTGCTGGTTTTGCGACTTGATTTTAAACACTTTTTGATGAAATTGTGGTGAGGGTATCCACTGTTTTTGAAGACAGTTAGTAGGTATTTTTCCTCCATTCTCTTCAACACCAGAGTAGTGCTATAGTGTGTTTGAACTCTTTTAAACAATGTCTGCACACAGTTTCTTTTGTGGGTGATCGGATTATTACTACTACAGTTGAGTATTTGGTCTGTAGTGTACATTGAACCTTCGAACTTTTGTTTGAACGAACTCACCTGACCTTTAACCCCACTTCCTCTTTGTATTTGTGAATCTCCTGTACGGCTTCGGTTTCGCTCTCTCGCTGTGCTTTCATCCAGCACACTCTCCGAGCTTACCACCGTCTCGACTGCAGATAAGTGTATACCCTCTTATTCTTTATCAAATCTCATATTGCTTTTGTGTAAATATAACTCTATTCCAGTCACGCTAGTTATCTCAAGTCTTTTTACCTTGATTCAGTTCGTTAGTATTTGCGCATTAGGCAGAGTACAATTAAGGTCATAAAGCGGTGAAGAAGTTTTTGTAAGAGTGGCTAATTTAGGTCTAAGTTAACCCAAGTCTAACTCTTACAGGTTTGTGTGCGTTGATTTTCCACATACTTGTGTTGCTAAATTTCCTGTGTTAATTCTCTTCATTGACACATGTAAGAATGGAAATTTGTTGCCTAATTATTCTTCTCTCGTGGTGAATTTAATGTCTTCAAATATGTTGTTTATTAATTTGTGGGTATATTCCAAATCACATTTCTTTTAATTATTACAAATGTATCAACAGCGTAATGTACCCAGAATTTTTGTTTAATTATGTGTAGGGACGGCAATTAATTCTAATCTTTGCATATTGGTGTAAGTAATTATTCTTGATATGGGCGATCCCATCGATGTTCCTTTTATCTGTTAGTATATTTGATTATTGAACTGGAGGCATGGTGTAATACATAATTCTATGAGTTCCATCCAACTTCAACATCCAATCTCGCCTAGATTACCAGCTCGCTAGTTTTCTAGCCGGTCCAAAGCCCTGATAAAGAGGGAGGGTTGGGGCATGGTGCTAGCAACTCCACCCCGAAAACTTAACCAAATTGCTACAGAAACTTCAACGCATAAATATATTAGAAATACTAAAAATATAAAAAATAACCTTATTTTTCGCTGGAATCGGGGAAGTGAAATAACGCAGGCTGGTGAAAGCCTTCGGGAAGCCAGTCAGCCGATGTGCCCTATTTCGATGAAAACCAAATAAGGATGGGGATGTGGAATGTTCGTACAATGTACGAAGCTGGAAAGGCTGCTCAGGTAGCCGCAGAAATGAGAAGATATGAAAGAGAAGTGTTGGGAATCTGTGAGAGCAGATGGAACGGATGTGGAAGATGCCAACTATCAACTGGAGAGACAATAATCTACTCCGGTCGCCCAGAGGACAATCACGAGCACAGCGAGGGAGTAGCCATCATGATGTCATCAGTAGCAGCCAAAGCTATCATGCAGTGGGAACCAATCTCTTCCAGGATAATTACAGCCAGGTTCAACTCAAAAGGAAGGAAGGTTGCAATCATTCAATGCTATGCGCCTACAAACTTCTCAGAACAAGAGAAGAAGGAGGATTTCTACAGATAACTACAAGCAGTAATGGAAAACGTCCCAAGCGGCGATATCAGAATCCTGATGGGTGATTTGAATGCGAAACTGAGAGGAGACAATACAGGAACTTCAGCATAAAAGCCAATAAAAATGGTCGACAAAGGTTATCAGGAGATACAATTATATCATCACACATGGAGAATTCAAACAAGTCCACTATATATTAAAGTCCGTGCTGAAGAAATTGTCTAGTAGGTTGACAGAGAAAGCTTGGTAATTAAGTCAACTAGTTCAGAGAACCCAACCAAGTGAAAATCATCTACTTGAGCCAAAATTTATACCTGCTGAAGTTGTTAATTGTTAAGCTTCGTTGACTGGATACGTTGAACTGAAATGCTCAGTTCCTATAGCCACATTGTTTGTCTAGTATGAATGCTTTGACGACATCTGAAGAATACCATGATATCTGACATCGTCAAGGCATTCGAACTAATATAAACCACGCCAAAAGAGTTAGAGCCTTTCTTAACAACATAATCAATTAACGGGGAGTTCAAATTAAAGGAAAAAGCAGTAATAACTGATACCGGTTGCTATAATCACTTAGTGGTCTAGTGAATAATGGTTTGGGGTTTGTGCATGGTTCCAGTGTTACTGAGAAGACAATCAGTCATTGGTGGTTGCAAGTACATCCAAGTGACGTGCCCTGAATTCTAAGAAATGTACACTACATATACCACTGTAAGTCACCACAATCGAGAATAATATATACACAAGTGACAAAAGAGAGTTTGAACAAAAGCTTTCCCCGTCTGCCTCTGATTTTATATATGCACATAATATTTGAGAATAATTGTTATTCAAAATATTGACGTTTTAGTTAAAACAATATGGAATTGTGAATATCAATAAAATTAGAAGAATTCATGGACCATTGGATAGCCTTGTAACCAGAAGGTCCTGGGTTCTAACCTAAGAGTCAGATGTGTACAGTTGAAGAGTCCAAAAATAGGCTGACAAAAAAGCTGTCTAGTGCACCCAGCTAGTTTTCCACTTACCTAGGAAGCATCGTTCCAGCTACAGATGGAACGCATGAAGATGTAAAAGCCTGCCGACCAGAATCGGAAAGGCAAGATACGTCTTCAACAACCTGAAACCAATTTGGAAGTCTTCTGCACTCTCCTCAGCATAAAGAACAAGATTCAGATTTTCAATACAAATGTTAAGACAGTCACTTGTTCTACACAAGTCAGAAACTTGCACTGCATGTCACGAAAAGGATTTCCAACAGCCGGTGTCAGACTTTTATCAACAGCTGCCTCCTTCGCTGGCTGGCTCCATACTGAAGATCAAATGGATGGCCAGGAGGAATAAGCAGCAAGAAACTATGTGAAAAAACTAACCAAGAACGTATCGTTCCAAAAATATGTAGGAGAAAATGGAGATGGAGCACACGCTGAGGAGACTGTCGAGTTACATTTTGCGCCAGACCCTCGACTAGAATGAGAATATGAATTTCCATGTTGTTCGTTGCGCTGACTGGTGTTGATCCCGATACTTATTTCAGAGTGATAAACTCATATCTTGCCTTCCTCAACCTAACCTTTCATCTCATATGGGTCGCATGTAGTTGAAACGATGCTGCTGAGCCAAGTGGAAATGGTGCCGTGTTTTAGATTTTACCCATTCACGATGATAAGAGCCTCTTCTTGTTGGTTAGATATCCTCATCACCTCTATGTTCTCTATGTTTAACTTGAAGCCCTGTCTTTGATGCCTCTTCTGATACCTTCTGTACTTCATCGACCCCTAGATTAGAAATAGGAAGTGAAGTGGTAGAACACGTTGACCGCTTCACTTACTTGGGAAGTACCATCAGCCCCAACGGGTTGATCTCAGACGACATTTCAGCACGAATACAGAGGGCTAGGTTCGCATTCGCCAGTTTTCGCCGTCTCTGGCGTAGACGCGATATCGGACTATCGACCAAAGGGCGTGTGTACTGCTCAACAGTCCGCTCCGTCCTCCTTTATGGCTGTGAGACCTGGCCATTGAGAGTGGAAGACATGAAAAGATTAGCTATCTTCGATTATAGGTGTCTGCGTTCTATCTCCCGCGTGAAGTGGTATAATAAGGTGAGCAATATTGAGGTTAGGCGTCGAGTACTAGGTAAGGAGGGGAAATCAATCGACGAAACGGTGAAATTACTTCGACTGAGATGGTTAGGACATGTGCTACGTATGCCTAGTCATCGCCTTCCTCGACAATGGGCAATGTTAGCTGATATAGGGCCAGGCTGGAAAAGAGCTAGCGGCGGTCAAACGAAAACATGGCACCAATCAATGAAATCCACAATAGTCAATCTAAGCCACGTAGGAAGATGTAGACTTCCTGGTTGGGGCCCTCGGGCTGGT